TATATAAATAAAATAAATAAATAAATCAGCTGAGTCTAAATGGCGAATTTTTAAAGTGACCACTTTCAAAAGGTTGTCATCACCCAAAAGAGGTGCCATTGACCCATCGGGTTATCCAGGTAAATGGAACGAGAATCACGGCGATGTCGTGACCCTTTGCGGCATCAAATAAATAAGCAAAATTGGTTGTGAAGTCGATCGAAGTGGATGCTTATAGGATTGGATCCGTTTCTCCAGATGGGTAAGGAGCTATGTAGGAACTTAACGCCTCAAATGGGTGTGGTACAGATTGATACTTCGTGTTTGTTTCAACGTGCATTCATGCCGACCTAATAGTTTTGTGGTTCAGTGGTTGTTCTTGGTTTTTAATGTGATTCTGAAATGGCGGTCGTTTTAGGAACTGGCAGAGGCAGCTAAGAATGTACCAGAAGCAGTATCGCAATCGTCAGCGGTACGACCATCGCGGAGCACCACAATTGAAAACGCGCCAGCCATCCGTACAGATCAAGCCTGACTGGGAGGTCATCGAAGAAATCGACTTCGTACGCCTCCTAAAGTTGAACCTGCCGCAAATCGGCGATGGAGAAGACATGTAAGCTTTGCTTTTCGATGAACCCTTACGGCTTAATGGTTTCAGCGTTATTGCAGTAATCATTTAGGGAGCAGTGATGTTTATTGTTCACTAAGGCGTTTCTTTTGTGACAGCTAGTTGCATCCTCAGAGTTATACACTGAGTATTATGCATAATAACTGGTCAGAGTTTATCCCGAAACCGTAATCTTTAAAGGGCTTGTTCCGCATATGAACTGCATTAAAGAAAACCTCGACGTTTCAGACCAACAGGATCCATCTTCAGGAGGCATCATGTAATACTGAATACATCATCAGGCGATATATATTAATCTTTGTGGACATTAAGAAAATATACATCTAGATCGCTCAAGCTAGATTTAACTTCAGATCTCCGTAAGTTTGATTTTCCTCGCTGGGGGTTTCGGTAGTTCGTTACTCTTAGTTTTTCACTGAAAAAAATTTTGGAAGCAGTCTTCACTTCATCCTTACTTCACGCTTTCGTTTAAACAAACATGAAACGATGCGCCTATGACAGTTTCTTGGCAACAGAGCATCGAAGGGTGCATCAGTATACCAGGTGCAGGGAAACTTTTGCAGAGCCGTCGACGGTCGATTTGATAGTCATATCGTCTGACTTATGACGCTCTGTAATTGATGTTCATGTTAAGAGAGGCGCGGAGTTGTCAACCGATCACCATCTTGTTGTCGGCGCACTACGCTCTAAGAAATGGAATACTTTGCTTCTGTCACCAGAGCACCAAATGTGAAACATTATTTTTGGTGCATACGAAACTTGCAAGCAACATCGCTCAACGGTTTCAACAGATCCCGTTGATGGCCACTGATGTGGAAACC